CTATAAGCCCTACCTGGATCAAACTTGCATTGATGATGCATCTAGGGATGGACACTACCACACTTGCTTCGGATGCTGGATCTGACCTAGATTATCCGGATGAGTGACCAGGTTAAAGTTTTAGGAGCAGGTCCATTCCCAAGTAACTATAAGCCCTACCTTGACCAAACTTGCATGGATGATGCATCTAGGGATGGACACTACCAAACTTGCTTCGGATGCTGGATCTGACCTAGATTTTCCAGATGAGTGACCAGGTTAAAGTTTTAGGAGCAGGTCCATTCCCAAGTAACTATAAGCCCTACCTTGACCAAACTTGCATGGATGATGCATCTAGGGATGGACATGGCCACACTTACTTCGGATGCTGGATCTGACCTAGATTTTCCAGATGAGTGACCAGGTTAAAGTTTTAGGAGCAGGTCCATTCCCAAGTAACTATAAGCCCTACCTTGACCAAACTTGCATGGATGATGCATCTAGGGATGAACACTACCAAACTTGCTTCGGATGCTGGATCTGACCTATATTTTCCAGATGAGTGACCAGGTTAAAGTTTTAGGAGCAGGTCCATTCCCAAGTTACTATAAACCCCACCCGGACCAAACTTGCATGGATGATGCATCCAGGGATGGACACTACCACACTTGTTCAGATGCTGGATCTGATCTAGATTTTCCACATGTGAGACCAGGTTTAGATTTAGGAGTAGTCTCATTCCCAAGTAACTATAAGCCCTACCTGGACCAACCTTTCATGGATGATGCATCTAGGGATGTACACTAACCAACCTGCTTCGAATGCTGGATCTGACCTAGATTTTCCACATGAGTGAATTTTAGCCATATTTTAACCAAATTAGCATGGATGATGTATCTAGGGATGGACACTTCCAGACTTGCCTTGGATTCTGAATCTGATGTACATTTTCCAGAAGAGTGACCAGGGTAATTTTTTTGGAGTAGCTATATAAAATTATGGCCTGTTATGATTAAACTTGCATAGATGGTGCATCTAAGGATGAAAACTTCCAGACTTGCTTTGGATGTTGGAACTGACCAAAATTTTCTTGATTACTAAACAGATCAAAAGTTTTTTGAGCAGGTCTATAATTAAATCAAACTTGCATGGATATTGATCTTGGGATGTACCCTAACTAGAAAAAAAATATGATGTGAAATTTGCCTTACATGTAGATAACATTCGTCGAGGTGAGCTTCGTAATCTTTGATTACCTATGTTTAAAAAAAATATTTATAATTCAAGCAGTGCAAAAATATAGGTTTTTAACTTCATTTTAAAAAAATTCAAGTCAAAGTAGAAATGTTACAGTTATATCTCTCAGTTGAACATCTAATATTACACAAGACCTAAAAAAAAATAAGACTTCCAGTTTATTTACCATTTAAATTATCTGCACTTAACATTGTTTACCTGCAAATTAATTTAAAGATTAACACTGTAAGTAAAATTGACTTGCTGATTCAAATTATAACAGGATTTGAATGCCCTATAAAACAGGTGATCAAAGGGTTTCCATTATCAAGGTAAATGTTCTCTGTATTTACTCTCATTAAAAATTAAAAGGTTTTGTTTCCCTCTAAATCACCAAATTAAACAGAGATTGTGTAGCCAGGGGTCAAATGAATTCCAGATATGAAAACTTATGACAATGATATGCAGTTTACGTTTTCGTGCCCCTGTTAGCCTGATATATGTACCGATGGAATGTCAGTTTTCGGGTAGTGGAGTCATATTTAAATTGGAATTAAATTTCACGTCTAACAAGGTACCCTAGATTTAACCTGGACAGATCCTTCTTATTTATGATGGTACATATTTTGAAAGAATGTTTTTGGATGGCTTTCAAATTTAAAGGAATTTTTTTTCTTTGTATAAGCAAGTTTGAGAGTGAATTTTCTGAACATTGATTTAAAGTGCAATTTTTTTGTGGAATGGATGATTTTTAATCCCTTTTGAATCCATGTAAGTATTTAGATAGATGAATATTTAATTCATAGCTGGATTTGAATTCTGGTTGTGAAATCTAAGAACTGTAGAGAAAAAAAAATGAAATGGATAATCAGGACTATCACATTCCAGTGGTTTAAACCCATTACTTATAAGGGGCAAAATGACCATTAATGATTTACTCCTGACACGATTTGATCATTGATCTGACCATTTGTATTGAAATAATGATATTGAAAACAGAGGAATTAGACAGATGTACAATGGTAGCTGTAAATACCAGCTTTGTTCAGTTATTGTACACTCTTCACTATCAAAGGACTTTTGTAGTCAGTTTTCATAAAGATGGCCACAGATAGCTATTGATTGAAAAAGTAGAAAACATGGAATAGAAACAGTGAGGATTAATTAAAATTTAAAGACTCTCATAAAACATAATCCATGAAGTTGGAAAGTTTATAATGAAGCTTCAGACAGTTCAGTTATAGCAAACATAAAGTAGTAGGTATCTGGATGCTGCTTTAAGAGAGCAGATATCCCTGTAAGTCTGGTCTGGTGTTTTCTGTGGTATTGAATGGTCAGGTAGGTAACAGCAGCTCATTTGACCTGATAACAGTGTACAGTTATATTTCAGATCAATACACAAGCTTTATATTGATGTTTTTTGCCTTGCTTTTTTGCTTTACTGTTTTATTTTTTATTGATAATTTTTCTGACTGTAATACATACTTATTTTTTTTGTATTTTTCAGCTGGAGGAGGGATTTTGATTGATGATGATGGAATTATAAGGGACAGTTTTGACACACAAAGTAAATACACAGCAGGGTCTACAGGAACTCACTGGACGGACTCGGGACTCGAACGAGATAAACAAAGTGCTGGGAGTAGCTCAACTCTTAGACATTCTGACCTGCACTCATTTGCGAGTTTTGATGATGTGTCACACCCTCTTGGAGAGAACGCTAACATCAGTGATTTAGAAGCCTCTAAAGATGACCTCAGCTTTGATCGTGATTCTATGGTGGATGGTGATGATAATGAATTAGATAACAGTCGGCCACTGTTAGGGCATTCTAAGCTTGGTGAGAGAAGCTTGCTCAGTAGCAACAGAAGCAGCTTTGATCATTCTCTAGCTTTTGAAACCACTGATCCAAAAAGTGGTTCTGAGAAGGATCTATTTGACCCTGAATATTATAAACAACTTCAAGAATTAGGAGTATTAGTGGATGGTGCAGAGTTTGAGAATACAAAGAACTCACTGAATGAGTTTGAGGAGTTAGAGGCGCACGTGTCACGTGATAATATTGAGTTGAGTGATGAGGGGGGAGATTCTGAGGAAGACATTGAGGAATTCTTGAGGAGGACTCCAACACGTGAGCAACTATTAGGGGATTATATAGGTCATCGTCATGGTGAACGATATCATGATACCAGCAGAGATAGCCGTGATCATGATGATGTAGCATCTAGAACTCGTCCGAGTACAGCTAACTCAGCTAGAACTATTGGAAGTGAACCCTTCCCTGAAATCTCTCCCGAGGAAGCTTTACAGTTGTATCAGGATCAGTTAGGATACCAGGACCAGTTAGACATTGTAGATAATGATGCAGAAAGCATAGAATTCCAGGAATCACAACAGACACCACAGGAACATGATGATGATGAAATCTTCATCATAACGAGTCGTATCTCAGATCAGCCTAGCCCTGCCAAAATCAAAGCTTACCAAAATGAGAGGAACACACCGTCCATGAGTCCAAGGTCACTGACCCCAAAATCAAACCACAGCAGTAGACCAACAAGTCGAGTTAGTGACGCGGGTAATAGCCGGGGAAACACGCCATACAGGGAAAGACAAGGATACAGTTATCAACATGAAAGATCATTTGATGATGATTCTCGTAGGGAAGGTTCTGTGACCCCGGTGTCTGTAATCAACTCTGACTCAAGGCCGTCTACAAGACAAGGGTCAAGGTCAGGGACACCACTTCAGCGTCCAGATTCTGCTGCAAGCCAAAGATCAGCAGCGTCTGAACGATATTCTCCTCATTCCAAATCAAAACAAAGTTCTTCTAACCAACTTGCCAAGTCACGATCCCAAGAAAGTTTCTTTGAGAAGGAGAACGAATCCCCAGCAGCAGGCAGAAAACAGGGAGAGAAAATGCCAAAACGCTTACTTCCTAAACCCTCAGAGGTCAACACTCCTCTAAAGGTCAAGAGTAAAAGTACAACAAATATTTCATCTGGAAAATCAAAACCAATGAAACCCAAGTATTCGTCCATGTCAATGTCACTAGTGAATATTGACATTGGGGAGGGGGAGGATCATAGCGAGGGGATCAGTGCCTCCTCAGATAAATCACGGACAGAACTGTCCTCCAAACTCCATCAGGAATTTAACAAAAGGAAGCAAGCTACAGAACTGGTCCAGCAGCTTCAGTTGGATTATGACAAGCTCTTGTCTAAGTACGCCCAAGCTGAGCTCACCATCGATCAGCTAAGGCTAGGAGCTAATGTGACCCTTCATACTAACTCTCCCACCCCCATACCAACCATCCAAGGGGTTCTTCCCTCCCCCCAGCAGCCACAGTCCATCCAGATGGGACAGATGGGTCGAGGAGTGAAGTCCCCCTCCCCATTCCAGGGATCTCTGGGCGTGGCCAGTCCCATCTCTCTTACAGGTAAGAGATCAGCTGGCAAAATCACAGGAAATTAATTGTTTGGAGAAAGAGCGTGTCTGTATTGCATATTTTTTTTAATCAAGGTTTCTTTTGTGCCAATTCTGATGTTTCCATCTATAATATGCAATCCTAGTTCACAGTTTTGAAGGGTAGCTCTATATGGCATGATTTAAGTTTATTATTTAGATTTCTTGTAGATCAAGTTTTATAGAAAGGTTTATTGTTGGTGTTTGAGAGGTTGATTTATGAGTAAATTATGTGTATTGTGATAAAGTTTTGACTTTCATTTATGGCTTATTTACAGGACTAATGATGGACTCATTGTGAACAAGTGTTAAAGTAGATAACACATGCATATCTTATGTCAGGTTTACTAGAATTGGTTGTCTTTTAGTCATGTATGGACATGCAGGGTACATTTCTGTCAGAGTAATAGCACAGTCTATAGTATGGAAATTTAAATGCCACAAAGTGATAATTTTAGTAGGTTTCAGATTTCAGTAATACACAAAGATACATGGGTATATTCCCTTTATTCTAGAATTTGTAAATTATTTAGTCATGTTTAGATTCACTATTGATAAACATTGTTTTAAACTCAAAATGCAGGAGAAAAATGGTGTACTGTTTTACCCAAAGCTGTTGTACACTTCATAATGGCACAAATGTGAATAAATAAAGATTATTATAAATTATTTTTCATGATTTTATTACATCCATCAAATAAAATCAAGGATACGCAAAATATTAAGATACATATAGTGTTAGTTTATATATATTGTAATGTTACTCAGTGTTGTTGCGGGGCAATATATGTGTTCCTCTATGTCCACATTGTAAATGGTTCCCACCAAGTCAGGGTTTACAGCTTATAGTCATTACCAATAAAGGCAAAATGCATTTTAAAAATACTTGGATAAAGAAAACCTTTAAAAACAGTGGCGTTGAATTGAGTCAGCTAATCTGATTATGGAGATGGATGGTGTATGTTGATTGTCTATATCGCTAATTCTATTGTGATGTGTGTGTCACCTGCTCATTCATGAATTAAGGTAACAGCTCATCCACACCAGGAAAGACCGTATGACTGTAAAGCAAGTGTAGAAATTCTTATGTGACCCAGCAATGACGAGTTTTATAAGCTCATGTGGATAGCTACCAATTCCGCACAATTTGTAGGAATATGGAAATTGGTTGTTTAATTATTTGTTAGATAAAATATGGCAGTCTTTAAGTTATTTTTTGTCATACAGTGTCTGCAGTTCATTTCAGAGGAATGGATAACAAATTGATGGCATATTGGATTTAGAACTCAATAAGAAATGCTTGACTTGATTTTCATATTGTTCAGGAGAGTTTTGTGCTAGTGGAGAACTTTTGATTTTAAGAGCCTTGTTGAGGAATATGTTATGTTTTATCTACAATGATTGAGACAGGCACTTTGATCTTAGGGTTTAAGTTGGAGTCTAGCAGAGACTATTGGACTAACAGGTTGATAGAGTCTAACCGATGTTGGTACTTGACAGTTTTTGTTGGAGTCTAGTGAAGAACTTTGGACTAACATGTTGGTACAGTACATAACGGTTTTTGTCGGAGTTGTATGGAGGACTTAGGACTAACATGTTGGTACAGTACATTACAGAATTAGATGATCCTTTGTCGGCCATAATAGAAGTGTCGGAGAGAGATGATGGTACCACTCTAGTTATCCATAAATTAAACTTTAAATCATTGAAAGAAGTAATCATAAATAGAGTAAGATAGTGAAGCCTGCATCTCTTTGTTTGTTCTAAGCTGTTGATTTTGATGTATTAATTAATTTCTCTCATCATTTTCCAGAGAGCTCTGCTGCTAATGTATACACTGACCAGCTGGATGGCCGTAAAAACTCTCTCCGAGGCCCCTCACCTATGCTCAGCTCTGGACACTCACAGACAGATGGGCGAGGGGATATGTCCCTGGATCATGGTGTGGAAAGTGTCAAGGCTGGACTCAGTCTCCTGACGAGGGGTCTTAATGAAAGGGTAAGTGTACCAAGCTTCATTTGTTGACAATTAAATGCTCAGATATATTTTGATGAAGGAAAGTAAAGGGAATAATTGGATATGATGTGAGTACATTTTGAGGAAATGTTTAAAGGTAGTATATAATGTTTTCATTCCCAAGTAGGGTACATTTTCTATGGCTCATCTGACCACTGTGTGATCATAGTGTGTGACTTTTTCATTGGATAACAAGTATCATGACTGGGTACTGATCCAGCCTATAGCAGGCTCAGGTCTTCCTTGCCTTCTGTAGACTTGATCAATCCAACATATTTTTGTGGACGGTCGGAAGAATGCTTGATAACTAGTAATATCTGTCCAATACCGTGGTTTTTGTAAAAAGTGTTTTGTGATCACTTCTAATATTATTGTAAACAAGAGCTAGCATTGTCTATAAAAATTAAATAATTTTATTTTGAATTCCAAAAGACAAAGGGATGATTTTTGACATGATTAATAATTTAAAAAGAGAAAATCGAAAAAAATTGAACCATTTAAAATTCTGAATGATAGAAATGATAATGGCTTCTTTTAAAGGCACTTAGATTTAAATAGATTTTAGTCCTTTAACTCATTAAGGATGCATTTGAACAGAAACTTTTAAATTGAATTATTCTACAGCCTTAAATTTTAATCCAGGATTGAATAAACTACCTAGAAATGGTGCCAGATTTTACCTGTATATATTCATGTTGTAGAGTGAAGAAGAAAAATAAAAAGGAGAAGTTTTAAAGTTTTTTATACCTCGACTTCAGTGTATAAATTTTCTTGATGAATAAATCATGATAAAGAGAAATGAATTTCTTTTGAATACTGATACGATAGACTTCTAACTTGCAGTTATTTGTCAGTGTCTGTTTAATGCCTCCTCAGAAATGTTCAATCATATTTACGCAGGTTTGAAAGGGAATGTACCAGTTCTTTTAAATCTAGCAGACACTTGCTATTCTAACTGGATAAAAGAATGTACATTCCATGGTTGATAACGCTTTATGTCAACAAAGTGCTTGATTGATATATAGTCAAATTTTACTTTATTATCAATGCTCATTAAATAGAAATGTTGGTTAAGTTCTGATGTCATGTTGTTTCCTCTGTTTTACAGATGGAGTCCTTTCAGGGCCTCCTAGAGGCAGGGGAGGGAATGAGACACGAGGACCAAGAAAAAATCTTTGATCAAATTCGTAACGACCACGAGAAGCTTAGGAAGAACTATTTACAAACAAAGGAGGAGTACAATACGCGGAAAAGAACCAGTGGCACTGGGGACGTTAATTTTGATGAGGATAAAGAATTAGAAGGGGAGTTATTCAGGCTAGGGATGAAATTTGATGGCATTCATGAGAAAATGGAGGAGAATCGCAAGAAACAATCTCAAAAACAGCCATTCCAGTCTAATCGACGACAGTCAGACAGTGACGTTCTAACGTCAGGCATGAGTGATCAGGAGATGCGGTCTGTCGATCACATGAAGCGGAAAATAAAGCAAGTGAAGGCAGGAAATGACTTGGTACAGCCAAAGCCTAACAAGGAGTTTGAGAAGAATCTGGAAAAGTTACATGTGGAGTATAATGCATTGATGGATCGGTACAGACGACTGAAACAGATGGCACAGACTCCAGAGAGGGATCAAGAGATTGATAACCTTGTCAGGGTAAGTTCAAGGTGAAATCTTAATTGTTAGGGTAAAGTCAAGGGTTAAGTTAGGGTAAGGTCAAAGCTGAATCAGCCATTCCACAAATGTTTACAATTGGGGACAACTTATGATTATTTGAGCAATATACCTGCACACAATTTTTGTTTATTTGAGTAATCATGGATCGTGCAGGTATGAATGTATAAAGTATAAGCTGTTTACATTTTCTCAAAGGTGTCAAGTTTAAACCTCATTTGTTTCTAAGACACGAAGAAGTGCTGCACATGTATGTTGCAGTATATCAGATGTTACTTACAAACAATGTTTTATTACTTGCAGAAGTTACATGAAATTTGTCAGCAAGAGCCAGAGGTGTTCAAAATGCCTCAAGAACTTGAAGACAGGTAAGAGCAGGATAGTCCTGTATACCACATTTTTTTAAAATTCAAAGCTTCTCTTTTACTTTTGTAAGCCTCTAGCCAAAATCGCTTGCTTGGCAGCAACCTGTACTGTTTTGATGTGTCACTGCCTTTGAGCATGTTTTGTTCTATACCATTGTACATATATTTATGAGGATGTCTTTGCTAAGCTGCTTGATGCTTTTGACAGCAGTGCCAATTCTGTTTTGTCTAATGAGACAAGCTTATGGGAGGACGAAGATGGATCAGACAGGTATAGGAGAGTTCCACTAGGGGGAATAACTCTGCACAGTATAAGTCACTATATCAAACTTCAGCTGCATGTTCACATCTCAGAGTTAGTTACAATTATAAATCTGACATGAATGTCTACAGAGTCACACTGCATGTTGTTTGCACATCTTCTATTTTTTTAGCACACACATTTGACACAAGTGTCAGAATCAAGGGTTTTAAAGAAGGAAGCATCAAGTGCTGAGTGACCTGTCTGTTCTTTTACAGTAAAACTGTATTTACAACCCTTATTTTAATGTTTTCTGAACATTAACTTTCAAAATCTCTAGAACCCAGGCACTTTAGACAATAGTTGTTGTATACTTTTGTTATCCACGCACATTTATCTGTTTTTACAATTGTTGAATTCTTGGTTATTTTTATATTAACATGCAAAAGACATCTGAAATATAATTATAACTTTCATATTTCCTTGCATGATTTCTGTTCAGTGTATTTTAGAAACAAACTTTATAATGACTTTAGACTTAATAAACAAGCATAATGATTATGTCTGCCTGTGTAGGTGGCAGCACTTGGAGCAGGGAGATAACGACTCTGTATTCAGTAGCAGACGACAGTCACCCAATCCTCAGAATAGCAGACGACCGAGCAAGGAAGACTCGGGACACGGGTCATATGCCAGGACGGAGGACAAACAGTTTACTAGGGTATATTGGTCATTTTACTATACAGAAAAAACCCTTTTCATAGAAGCAGCACAAATGCATATTCAGAAATTTTTCTTTCTATTTTAAAATGCCACTTAGACACAAAGTAAATTAGTTTTTGTCAGATATGTCTTTTGAACCAATATTGGTGGAAAATGTAACAGCTGATTTAAATCATTACTGGGTGATTTTGTCACATAAAACGTGTTCTTAATTTGGTAGGATCCAAATTCATCTGACCATACAGCAGGAAGTTCAAGGTCACTGCACACGTCTGACCTTGACCCACATTCAGGTAAGTAGTAAAGGCTGAGTAAGACATTTTAATACTCCTTTTTCCAACAAGTTGTGCAATTTTAATCTTTGAATTAAAGATATCAATCTACTCTGTTGTAACGGTTCTAATTCTTCTCTCCAGAGTCTCTGCGTCAGATGCGCGAGTCTAGTATGTCAGGAAGCCGCAGCAGTTTGTCCTCCAGGGGAAGGTCTCCGAGGGACTCAACATTTGATAGGGATTCCCCCACCCCACGTCTGCCTCGGCCACGACGACATGACCACAGGGAGCCTCGGTCTGGGAACCTAAAGAAGGTATGACCCAGCTGTTCTGTGTGAATTAAGCCATTTATAGTAAGATATATAAGTGCTAAAAATTTGATATCAAGTTATTTTCATTACACTTCTTGACAAAATTCTTTATTTATGATTTTATAAAAATTTCTGTTCTTGCTAGTTATTTCATACTCCTTGTAGAAGTTTGCTGTGTTTTAGGATAGATTGTGACTTCATTTGAACATTATTAAAGACATCATTTGATACACTATACCATATTAACTGTATTTACAGATATATAATTTTTATATTATCTTCATTAATATACCCAGTCTATGACAAGACAGTCACAGTTTTGTATATACACCTACTTGTCTATGACAAGGCAGTCACAGTCTTGTATATACACCTACAATTATTGAGCTACTTGTATAAATATCCAGAGTCTACTAAAAAGTCTACAATACAAATTGTAACAAGCATGGTGACTGCATTTATACAGAAATAATCCCCTTTATATTCTACCACCCTATAGCTCTACAGACACAATTATAATTAACCCATTATATATTCTACCCCTCTTCAGCGCTATTACAAACTGATGTCGGAGTCTGGTGGAGAGGTGGGTTATTGTTTCATACACTGAGGGCACTCCTGGTTTATGGTTATACTGTAATAATACAAACTGTAAATGTGAAAATTTCTGCTATAGCAGGGTTGTTGAAATTGGATGAAGACTTTCAGATAATTGGATTAACAGAGTGCAAGATTTTGTCAGCCCAAATAAAGTTTCAGCCCAGAAACTTGATTTTGATCATTCTGTTACAAATTTATTAGACATCAGAACTAAGCTGCTGAAAGAATTCATTGGTCCAGGTTATTGTTTTCATAACTTGATCTTGCTGATAGCTGGTTTTTAGCTATTTGTTTTCAACAACACTGCTTGAGATAGACCTAACAAATGGGGGGTTGATTCAGAGGGACTACTATGCTAGAGAATATTTATGCAGAAAGCTAAATCTTGCAATATTTGTGTAAATGATCCCCCTTGAATAATTCTCACATTTACAGTATTTCTTGTTTTCCATGTAAAAAACAGTCAAATCCAAGATGGGCAACTATCCACTAATGTTTAATGGAAATGTCACTTCTAGATCTACATTAATTATTTTTCGAAAATTGACACTGTACATGTACTGAAATGCATCAGGTCTGTCGGTTCAAATGCCCATTGTTCAATTTTTCTCTTTTGAACACTGGTATATTTACATGTATTTTATTAAAATACCAAAATAAATGCCAATAGCATTGAAGGTGGATTTATACTTAAGCATCTAAAAATGTTTTGGTGGTACATACATAACATTCATATACTATATATATCAAAAAGAGAAATTCAGTTTTCAAGTATTAATTGACACTGGTTTGTTCAGCATTTATTGAATCATATATTCCACTGATAAAAAAGACCCCCAATTTTCACTTAAAATACAAATTAGCTTCTGATTGGGAAGGGGTTTTCGTGTCAAATGCATTAAATAAAGGATAGACATCCCCCCCCTCCCCCTCCAAAAAAAAAGGCATTGTGTTGTTATGTTTTCCATCCTGGATTTGACTTTTTAAAGTTCACCTGTTAATGATCACTGTCTTACATCAGCATGAATTTCAGTCTCTAATAATTAATACACTAGCACTGTAATCTGCATGGAAAGAGGCAAAGCTTAAAGCATTGTAACCAGCATGGAAAGAGGCAAAGCTAGCATTGTAATCAGCATGGAAAGAGGCAAAGCTAGCATTGTAATCAGCATGGAAGCATTAAAGTCAGACAGGAGCATGAAACTGTTAGATACAGATAGCAGAAGTTTTTTTTTTTTCGATTTAAACTGAACAAGTGACTAAATTCTGCTTGGCTTTTGTCATATTACTATCTTTGTTAATTAATTTATAGATAATATCAGCATTATTGATCTCTTTTGTTTCATAGAAATGTTAAATACTTGAAAACCTTGATTTTCAAAATAAAAGTATCTGCTGAAGTCTAACATTTAAGGTTTTTAGCACACTATCATTTTCTCACACTGAATGGTTAATCTCCATAATAAAGTGGCCAGTACTAACACCAACATAACCTGCAGCACAGTGCATTCCATTGTATTTGTTCTTTGATTTAAAAATTAAATGGCCAAGTAAGCATTTATAAAGGTCATATGTTAATCTGGCATTAGGGTTAAGTGTAACTTCTGTTTATAGAGACCAGAGAGTGGGAGTTATAGTAGTCTACAGGACAGTGGAATATCAGACCAGGAGGGGTCACGCACCAGGGAGAGGGGGGCCACAGGGGGAGGACCACTGTCCAATCTCCCAGGCCCAGGGACATTCAAACAGATGACTAAACAACGCCATGCAGGAGATGCTGACAGTGGATTCATAGGGTCAATGGTGGGGTCAGAGGTCAGTGGCCAGCAGTCGGCACGGCAACAGCAGCAGCAGCAAACGTTAAGACTGCGTCACTCAGACAGTGGCAGCGAAAGGTATCACTAACAGTGTCTACTGCAGAAAGATAAAAAATAATGCAACAACCGTTCAGGCAGAAAGTATTAAAACCTTTCACAGATTTTACATGACATTGAAAAAAGAGCATTGTCACTTCAGTTTTAGTGGAATTTCTCAATATAATTTTGCTAAATATTTGCTAAATATCTCAGTATTTCCTTTATATCTGTACAGAAGTTGTATAACAAGTCTGCATACCGACTCATTGTAAACATCTTGTAGACCCAGATCCCGCTCCTCTCGATCCTCCCGTGCTGATGACTCGTTATCTGTGGCAAGCTCTAGGACGGGGCATAAACAAGAAAGACCACCATCTCGTGAGTCAGCTCGATCTGGTCGTAAAAGTAACAACCAGTCTCGAGACTACACAGATGACAGTTACACCCTCACTGAGAGCGAGATGAGCTTTGACATTCCAGAGACTCGTCCCAGGAGATCGAGTCGAGATGTTAGAAGTGGAAGACGGAGTGTGGATCTCCCAATCAAGGAGGAGGAGGAAGGTTAGTTTATTTTGATGTGGAGTCTGGCTTTTCCACTCAAAATCATGGTAATGTGAAACAGGAGATTTTCCACTTTGCAGCCAAATCAAGTGTGACATTGTTTACTGTTGTGCACAGTGCTCACATTCAGAATTCTGTTTCAGATGATTTGGAGGAATCTGGTAAATTCACCATATCATATCACTGCTGTTCCATACTAAATCATTGTACTGGGCTTTATTTAGCTGTGTACTTAGTTGGATGTCTTTGGCAGAAAAAAATTAATTAAAAAAGTTATATTTTTATTCAGTACAAAACTACCACTGTAAATTACTATATATTTTTGAGAAGTTAATTTATTTATGCTTTAAAATTATGCAAGATTGTCCACATTCTAAAATTTCATTGATGCATATATTAGTGTTATTAAAAATAATATATAACTGTAAGCAAAAAATTGCTGAAAATTTATTCTTACTTATGAATACTAAATAAATCACGTGAAAATAAGGTATCGCAGACCTTGTTGATCTTCAGCTTCGGAAAAAATGTCAATTTTAAAATGCATACAAAAAGTACACAGTAAATAATTCAATATGTGTAGTGTTGGTGTGCTGATTCATTATTTTTTGGGTGTAACAGTTTATTATTTGTGACGATAATTTATTCCAGATACACTTTCCGACATCTGCGAGGAGAGCTGCGATGAGTTGAGACAAACAATTCGTATTGGCTCTGCTCAGCTAGCTAATTATTTTGGTTAGACATGTTGTTGTTGTGGTGTGTGTGTCATATATAGCACTGTCATATATATTTTTACATTTTTTGCACCAGGCTTGTTGGCATCTTCTTTGGAGGTGTTGTAATGGGATTTGGTCATGTTTTCCATACAATCATTTAGAGTAAATAATTAAGATAAAAAGGGTAGAGAGGAGAGTACTCCCCTAAAGAAAGTTTTAATTTCATTTACTCCTAACATTCTAAGGGTATATATTTTAGTAAAATGTAGGGGAGGGAGTGGAAAGTGGAGTTACTTTGAAGGATACAACCACAAAGAATTCTTTTCCCAATTCAGAAAAAAATTACTAAATTCTTCTCAAAATTGTGATTATTTAGTAAAATTTGTGTGATAATGTTGAAAGGGGGGATTCTTTTAAGCAGCTGTAGAGCTGTTTACATCATTTCATTTTCACATGATCAGTTGTTTGCATTGTGCTACTGGTACAGGTTGAGGAGTGGGGGTGATTTACATTCATTTTCCAGAATTATTTGTATTTTGAAGTGCACTGGCTAGTTTATTTTTAAAGCTGAGTAATATATTAAAAGCTGAAAACTTAACTTTTTTCAGTAACTTATTAATTGGTGTGTACAAATTAAATGCTTAGTTTTAAATTTTTTAATATATATTTTTAGAAAGACCAAAATCAACACAAAGTCAGGGGTCCAAAAGAGGTCAAAGGATCCAGGAAACACCAGTAAAAACTCCCAAAAAGCCCGCTAAAACAAATGTGTCTTTCTCAGAATTTTCTGATGAGGAACTCACTCCTCGAGCTAATAGGAGTTATAATGATAGCCGTGAAATCCTATCCTCAGAGGAAGTCACCCCTAGGGAGCAGCCGATCCAACCAGAGGAGAGAATGGAGGCCCAACGGACCACCGTCACCCGCAGCAAGGAGAAAGACCGTCCCTTAACACCTGGTGCCAAGAAGGAACCCCCAAGACCTCCAACCCCCAAAATACCCACCCCAAGATCAGACAGATCAGGGACTTCCATTAGGAGGAATCAGGTGCCCGCATTAGATATTCCACAGCCGAGGTCTCGGGAGGAGGTTCGCCGACCCCTGGTGGAAGATCGAGGGGCGGGGTCTGACAGTGACGATACTGCCAGGGTCTCAGTGGCCACAGCTGCAACCAAAGGGTCTGACAGCAGGTTTGTAGAGAATGTTGAGCAGTGAATGACAAAATTTCAATACATGAAATATTTTTTCAAGAAGAATTTGTAATATCATTTTACTGAAAATATTTGAAATGAATGTTAACAAACTGTTTTCTAAAGAAATAAATTTATATTCATCTAAAAAATTTATCTGTTAATTCAAATGCATTCTCTTTTATTATTTTCAGTTGTATAAAAAATTTATTATGTAATAAAGTATTTTTTTCCCTTTTAGTGAAAAATTTAAGCTGCTGCAGGCAGAGATTGGAAGACTGAGGGAGGAATTCCAGAAAGCTGCCAGAAATCACAGTCATCCTCCACCCCAGGAACCACCACCCCCTCAGCCTGCCCCCACCAGGGAGGAGGAACGGGACAGGTACTTTGACCCTACAGAAGATCCCTATGCCTTCATGATGGGACCTCGACGAAGAGCAAACTCCTTCTCAGGGGCAGGGGCTCGTGATTGGAATGATTGGTGGAAATATCCACCCAATCAGCAACAGGATGATATTCCACTCGGATATGCTGCTGCAGATTCATTTAATCCAAACCGACAAGTGCAAGTGCAGGTGTTACCTGAACCTCCACGGTCAAGTGAGAAGAAACGAATGAAACGTAAATACAGAAACCGAGCCACAGGAACTGAGTTTCAGGAGGAATACGATTCAGATCAGTCACCGTCTCGAGTGACAGCTTCTACAGCAAATGATGAACAATTATATAGTTACTACATACCTCGTTATCAAGCAGCAAGAACACAAACACATCAGCAACCAGTCAGAATTCAGCGATACGCCTCCCAACCAAACTTATTGCAGAATGTCTCATTCCAGGCTGCTCCCCGACTCCAACAGCCCCCTCCCCAACATCCTCCCCCACCCCCACCCCAATATCCTAACGTGCCAACTGCATCCTATGCTGCTCCAATATCAGCAGGATACACCAGATTACGATCTTCCCCCAGAAGAAGACCAACACAGCCAGTGTACCAGGCCCCGCATTACTCCTACAATGACTTGGACATGCAGGGCCAACAACCAATCGGATACCTTGTTACATCTCAGCCACCTCCCCCACAACCTGTGGCACCCCCTGTGTTTTTGGAGCAGACCTCCACTTGTCCTATGTGTGGTGGTTCTGGTGTTCATTCTCATGGAGAATATGTGTATGAGGCACCACCTAATGACCAGCCCGTGGCATTTGTGATGCAGACTCCACCAAGGTGAGTTTCTGAGGTTTATAGAAACCGGGGAAATAAAGGTTGAGTATATTTCTGGAACTGTTTTTATTGGATACGAATTAAAATGTCAAGTAATTTCTAAAATGTTAATATATTCCATAATATAACACCTACATGTACATGTATATTCAAACAAGATCAGTAAGTCAATACTTAACAAAAATCTTACATTATTTATTACAAATTCACTGTTGACATTTTTGCTTCCTCTGTGATGGACAATACATTTCTGATTGTGTGATTTAGGGGCAGAGCAAGAAGGAGATCAAAGTCTGCCTCACGTGTACGGCATTATTCCCCTGACGGCAGAAATAGGTCGCGATACCTCGTCCGGGAGTACCTCAGTGATGAAAGCTCCAGCGCTGAATCAGAGGACGACATTGTATACAGAAGGAGGTAATCATTAAAACTTTATGTACTTGATAAAATTCAGTATTGAAATACTGATTATGTGAGTTTATATCCACATCGAAACTGAACTCGACCTTCATTTTGATAAATTATTGAGCATGGCTGTACATACTGTAAATGAGAATATTTTACGGGTTAAATTTTGTAATCTCCATGTTACAAAGCATAAAGGAGAAGTGTTATTTTTGTTGATGTGAAAGAATTCACATAATGTGTTTGTTTGTTTGTTTGTTTATTGCCTTACTTAAGCAATTAGCATTTGTGTTGTCATAAATTCTGCGAAACTTTACTCATCAAAAATTGGCAAAATTTCCCCATTGCAAACATATCCACATTGACAGTAACAATATACAAATAATCATTAAACACTATATATAATTGATTTAAACTTTACTTTGATATTTGTTTTTACACTGTGTAAGGAAAAACTACGTTGTTCTGGTGTCCAGACCCCGGGATCATGAAACATCTTAAGCTTAAGTCAAAATCTTTATGTTGCACTAAATTTTTGTAGAAGTCAAGCAGAACAAAATTAAAATATTTTTCAATATTGCTTTACAAAAGTGTTGTTATCTGCAAATTAAGAAATTAAATAATTAAGAAACATTTTACAGGCGATTGAAAATTTGACTCAAGTCTGTTTCATGATCCTGCGGCCAGGTGTCTCAGTCCAAGGTCAAATTTTAAGTCAAAGTTTATCTTTTGGTTTTAACTTCCTTATGAATGATGCAAGAAAATGAGCAGAATTTGATCTTGAGATTCAGATTTGTATTAAATGTTTAATATACTCAGCTGTACAACTTTTCTGTTTTTAGGAGTAGAAGTGCAGGGCGAAGATCCCGATTACGGACAAGACAAATAAGAAAATACAAAAAGGTAAAACCTAATGTCAAAGTCACAGACCAAAATGTGTCCTTCACCCTCGGTGAAGGTCAAGGTAATGAGGGAAACCCGAACTTCAGTGCCACTAACAATGTGAACATGAACACTAATTTTACTCCTATTGCTGGTTCTCATGAAACTGGTATCCCTATAGCTGCACCAGGTGTAGCCCAGGAAACTGTTCCGAGTGGACAAATTCCATTCATACCGAGCCAAGATGACCTAGATTTGGTAATGTTCTAGAATGCAGATGTTCACTCAGTAGATAGTAGATGGGGCTAGATATTGTTCTTAAAATCAAAGCAGAAGGTGTGACCATTTTTTGTTTGCTGTGTATATGCTTTACATTGCAACATGGGGAAATATTTGTACTGGAAATTCATTGCATCATTCCATTAGTCATGTCGTAGTAAACATGGAGTGCTTTGATGATTGTTGAGTGAGTTATAGGTATATGTATATCAAACACAGTGTTAAATTTTAAATTTTGTGACAGTTTTGTCTAAGCAATGATTAATTGTGCTAGAACTTGTATGCAGAGGATCTTTAATAGCTAATTATACTTGATAGTTTATTCTTCAGCAATTTCATTGAGAGTCAGTACATAATTTTTTTTCAAATTGTTGATCAGTAATATAAATACATGTACATGCAAGAAACTGTTCCTCAATTTAAATACAGCTTTCTGTGTTTTTGCAGTCTCGTGAATTTGAAAATGACCTGGAAATATCCTTGAACCTTACTGAAGAAATTGATGAGCTGACCCAGAAACTGGTTGGTACTGTCAAGAGTGAGCTGGCACTGTCTCGCCGGAAAGACTTTGGCTCCTCTTACTGGTGAACAAAGAGAAAAACTGACAAGACTCTTGATATGAGCTGGAAATAGTTCTGATTGGTCAGAAAGAATTGTACAAAAGTTATATATAAATGATGATACCCTTAACATTCTGTAAGGATGTGCCCGAGCAATATGTGAGAGTGTGTGTACTTGATTTTTCAAATCTTTTTCAAGGAAAGTCATTTACATCAGCAGAATTGGAGGCTCCTTCAATCAGCGTTAAATTAAGACTATCTTGCCAAATGAGTTTTTGAGGAAAACAGCTAGGTTCCTTCTGATTTAAGATCATGATGTGGATGATTATTGACCTGCTGATAAAAAAGGGGATGTGATGCTGATGTACTTAATAGCTGATGGAGACTACTGTATTTATACACAGTTTATATACGTACCGAAATCAAATTTGGATGTGATATTATACAAATTATTGTTTATACATACTATGACAGATGTTTTATTTATTTTGTAATATTTATATTTCCCTTGAGATCATGGTGAAGCTTTAGAATGACCTTAAACTTCCTGTGGAGGTTATTGTACTAATTTATTTCTGTGTACTTAAAACAAGTACTTAATAGTTATCCACAATTTACGAACAAAAAAAACCAAATCTTTTAAACATATATTTTGATAATTTACGTTTTTTTTTAATGGATTGATGTTATTATTGACACGATCATTCTGTCCACAGTTTCATTTTATTACTGTATCTGTGATTTTTTTTAATTTTACATCCATGTATTTTAAAATGTATGTTTACTTTTCAGATCTGATAGATTTATATATTTTTTAATTGTTAAACCAGAAATTACTACACATGCAAGTAGTAAATTCATCATTTAAAACAATCCCTCTATGTAGTCGATCTTTGTACGCTGTATTAATTATATAACCGTCCATTTGGTGGTAACACCGTTTCTATTCCATCCACTCTGGCTGAGGATTTTATTTAATATATTAATCTGTAAACACATGAAATCCACAAGCTCTCTGTGATAATTTAAGAGATTTTATGTCGTATTTTTTGTATGTTTTTATTTATACATGTTTTGGAAAATGGAAATTATCTGTGCATTTATTTCATATGTCAATTTTTCAGAGACAAACATTACAAAATATACCATATCAAGCAATTTTGTTGTTCTGGGTTTATTCTGGTGAAAGAAAGCATTCACCCTTACTTCACCCCATTTTATCTTGGGAAGGCACCATCCCTAGTGTTACTGGTTTCTTGGAAGAATATCTTATCTTAGCTCCAACAGATTCCTTATTGCCTAAAGAGATGTTAAAGAGCTGATCTTCAGGTTGCACCAGAAAAACTTGCCATCGAGTTCTCGCTTCAACTGAACTGACTGAGCTAACCAATGTGTCATTTTGGATACACATACATTTCAGCTATATTTCTTTGTGTAACAGTTACACAAAACCAGGCAGAAATGTTTGTGTAAGCGTACTTTTAAATCTATACATGGAGAGAACACTGCCTTATTATTGCAGTACATGTATCAAGTATGATGCAGAGAAGTATAAGTCCCACCTTGTTTCCATGTGTAGGACCTACAGTAGTTATAGACTAGCATATCATTTAGTTGATCTTAACAATTCCCTTATCAAATGATATACAGTCAAACCTTGTTGTCATGAAGTTGATAGGGCCAAGAAAAAAGCAACACTGAGGTATGGTATACATGATATTTGAGATATCAATGTTCATACCATAATTCAACTGTGATTTGTACCTGATTATAGGGTTAGTATCAGCATAAGTAAATTAAACCCCTCCCCCCAAATAATAAATAAAAATCTGTGTTTTAAGCATTAACCCTGTGTTATTGCTTTCTATCATCCAATGATGAAGATGAGATATCCTTGTCTTTGGTTCCTCCTTGCATGGATCTAATTTTGACAGAAACAAAAGTTGGCACTTTAGCCCATTTAATAAAATAACAGCATAGAAATAATTCAAATAAAATGTTTAATATCATTGCACTTAAAACTCTATCAACAAAATAAATATAAATTTCATCTAACAATTATCAATGACCCACCATTAAGTGTATCCCTTTTCACAGAGAAATACCACGCAAACGTTAATAACAAATAACCTCTGCTATAAATAAATCACATGTAAATGTTTCAGCATTTTAATCCACTCCCAACTCTTTATTCTGTCTATCTGTATAGGGACATGGATGTATATTTCTTTAAAACTTAAATTTTCCAAAGTTCTGTCTTCTGACGTTTGACTGAAATAAGACAAGTAGTTTTGAAAAACAAAAATGTGTCAAGCTATTCACGCTATAAATGTGTGACGGCAAAATAATACAAATTTGTTCCCTAGAACTTCAATTTAGTAATTGATTTAGCTCCCTTCATATAAACATTTCCAACGAATTACGATACATGTCCCTTAGGATTCTCTGTGTGGATGCCGAGTTTGGCTGTAATCCAGAATTATTTCAGTTGCTGTAGAGGGATAAATCCGTTATCCTGAAATCTGAATGCCCATACATGCATGTGTAACACTTTGTCAAGATAACTTTTGTAATGAGACTTTTTGTCACAGAACTGCGGAGTTAGGTAATTCTGTCTTTTCCTCATTGTCTATTAACTGGACTTTCATTTCAAGGTCTGCTCCACTTGCTACAGCCATCATAGATTCCCTGTCACCCCTGGGAAACAAAACAAATGATACAAGAGGCCCATGGGCCACATCGCTCACCTGAGCACATTGGCTAGGCAAAAGCACAAATCAGTTCAGTATTGAAAAAATTACTGGGGGGGGGGGGGGGTGTGGTTGAATTTTAAACTACCTGATGATGCTTACATGTCAATATAACAAATGGCTTTGTTGTAATTGAGAAGATTTTAAAAAAAATTTCCCATATATTCTTTTGTAAAAATTTGATCCCCCATTGTGGCTCCTCCTATCCTAGGGGTCATCATTTGAACAAACTTGAATCTACGCTACCTGAAGATGCTTCCATATCAATATGACTAAACATAGCTTTTCTTTTCTTGAGGAGAAATATTTTTTCTATATTTCTTATGTAAAACTTTTGATCCCCCACTGGGCCTCAGCCTACCCCCTTAGGGTCATCATTTGAACAAACTTGAATTTACACTATCTGAGGATGCTTCCATATCCAAATGATTAAACATGATTTTCAGTTCTTGAGAAGAGGATATTTTCCTATATGTTCCTATGTAAAATTTTCAATCCCCCATTGTGGCCCCACCCTATCCCCAGGGGTCATCACTTTAACAAACTTGAATCTACACTACCTTAGGATGCTTCCATATCAAAATGACTAATCATGGCTTTGCAGTTCTTAAGAAGAAGATATTTTCCTATATATTTCTATTTAAGACGTTGATCCTCCATTGTGGCCCCGCCCTTCCCCCGGGGGTCAGGATTTGAACAAACTTGAATCTACACTACCTGAGGATGCTTCCATATAAAAATGACTCATCATGGCTTTGCTGTTCTTGAAGATTTTTAAAGATTTTTCCTATATATTTCTATGTTATACTTTGATCCTCCATTGTGGCCCCGCCCTACCCCCAGAGGTCATGATTATAACAAATTTGAATCTACACTATCTGAGGATACTTCCATATAAATATGACTCATCATGGCTTTGCTGTTCTTGAGAAGATTTTTAAAGATTTTTCCTATATATTTCTATGTAAAACTTTGATCCTCCATTGTGGCCCCGCCTTACCCCCGGGGGTCATGATTTGAACAAATTTGAATCTACACTATCTGAGGATGCTTCCATATAAATATGACTCATCATGGCTTTGCTGTTCTTGAGAAGAAGATTTTTAAAGATTTTTCCTATATATTTCTATGTTATACTTTGATCCTCCATTGAGGCCCCGCCCTACCCCCAGAGGTCATGGTTATAACAAATTTGAATCTACACTATCTGAGGATGCTTCCATATAAATATGACTCATCATGGCTTTGCTGTTCTTGAGAAGAAGATTTTTAAAGATTTTTCCTATATATTTCTATGTTATACTTTGATCCTCCATTGTGGCCCCGCCTTACCCCCGGGGGTCATGATTTGAACAAATTTGAATCTACACTATCTGAGGATGCTTCCATATAAATATGACTCATCATGGCTTTGCTGTTCTTGAGAAGAAGATTTTTAAAGGTTTTTCTTATATATTTCTATGTAAAACTTTGATCCTCCATTGTGGCCCCGCCCTACCCCCGGGGGTCAGGATTTGAACAAACTTGAATCTACACTACCTGAGGATGCTTCCATATAAAAATGACTCATCATGGCTTTGCTGTTCTTGAGAATAAGATTTTTAAAGGTTTTTCCTATGTATTTCTATGTAAAACTTTGATCCTCCATTGTGGCCCCGCCCTACCCCTGGGGGTCATGATTTGAACAAATTCGAATCTACACTACCTGAGGATGCTTCCACATGAGTTTCATCTTTCCTGGCCCTGTGGTTCTTGAGAAGAAGATTTTTAAAAGATGCTATTAATTTTTCACTAATTCTTTATTATCTCCCCTTGAAAGAGGGCGTGGCCCTTCATTTGAACAAACTTGAATCCCCTTTACCCAAGGATGCTTTGTGGCAAGTTTGGTTGAAATTGGCCCAGTAGTTCTGGAGAAGAAGTCGAAAATGTGAAAAGTTTACAGACGGACCGACAGACGGACAGCTAGACAGACAGACTACAGACAAAATGTGATCAGAAGAGCTCACTTGAGCTTTCAGCTCAGGTGAGCTAAAGAAATTAGATTTCTTCCTGATTATCAAGTTGTGAGTTTTGTTTTAACATCTATCTGTAGTATTACAAACTAAATAAATGAATGGTCAGTGCAAAAAAGAGCAAAGCGGTATTCAGTACATACTTTTTACCAATTGCTTTCAATCCATATAATGCTCCTGCTATAAATACGAGACCCGCTCCTAAGATTGTCCAGGCTTCTATACATGATGCTATAGGCACCAGACCAAGTCTGTCAAACGATAATCAGTACTGAATATATACTTCAAACACAGGATTTCTGAAATAATCTTTGGTAAATGACTATATCCTAATTAAAGATAAGACGGAAATTCTACTGTCATTTTTCAACACTTACAGACAATATAAAACAGCTTTTTGCCAGGGAGGCCGTTTATCTGAGAATGAACTGATTTTATCTGCAAATTCCACAAATTGGCAGCAGCATGGAGCCTCAAGTAGAACCACCACAAAACCAGCTACCCTGCAAACAAAATAAGACTTTTGTAACATATATTTCACTTTACTTGTTTATTCATACACATAGGCCATAAATCAAATCTTCCTGAACCAAACAAACTTTATAAAAAAAAAAGTAATATAGTTACAAGTAAATAAGTAAATAAATGTGGTCCTTAAACTAGTCCATAAACTTTGCAAATATTGGTAATTTAATGGTTGAATGATTTTCATACCATTACTGGAAGTTAAGTTTGGGCCCGTTTTAACAGAAATAAAAAATTGCATGTTTAACAAAACACTTGGCAATGATTTGGGGGTTTAACAGTGTTTAAGGGTTTGTATCTGTTAAGTGTAAGTAATGCAACAATATTCTGAAAAAATAAATTTCCTTTCTTTTCCCAAAGCGATGCCAAGGCTTCTAGAAAATGACTTAAGTATGCATTTCCATAGCGCTAGCTGGAAATTCTCAAAATAAAGGGGATGGAAAGTGGCTGATGTGAATATGCACTACATCATGCCTCAACAGGCTCATACATATCATTAGCATGAATGACAGTCCGTGGACTGGAAGTCCAAGGGTTACTACATTGTGCTAGATTTGAGAAAATTCGACCTCAGCATCTGAAAAACAGGCACTTAAAAATGTCAAAGAATATTTATTTCGCTCAGATCTCAAGATTCATGAACCTAATGCATCATAGAAATCAAGCTGCAATTGTTGTGCATGGCGGTCTTGCACGCTGTAATTGAATGGCCGGGGGTGTTTAACAGTTATGTGTTACTTTCTCTAGTTATAAGATAATCATTCACCATTTTTATCAAATCTCTGATCTTTTTAAATCGAGTTTTACCTTACTGTGTTGAAGTGTGTTCATTTTTGTAAATCATCAGATAAAAAATTCAAACATTTGTAGTTTACTGGTTGTTGCGTTACTTTTGCATGTCAGTATATACATGTACCGGTACTATTGACAATTTTTCTATTCTTTCATCCAAAGATGCTTCTTGCTGAAATTGGTTGAGATTCAGCAATTCAGAGAAAAAGCTAAAAATGTTCTATATTGTACAAAATGGACCACAGTATAACCATAGACAGAATAATGGATCAATAGCAATAGGTCAACATCTGACTAACTCAGGTAAACTAAAAAATGTATTTTCATTCAATAAAGGACCAAGTGTTGAAATTTTATGCTCAAACTTGATCTGCAACTCTGTAATACACCTCATTCTGCTATCTCTCAGTCCAGTGTCACAAAGTTAAATCCAAAATTTTCATAAATTCACCTTCAGTCAAAAGGGCCATAACTCTAACATAAAATAGAGTTGAAATAACAATCTGCAACTCTTCTACACACAAAAGATTATCAAATTTCAATCCACTACACCCAAACTCCACAAAGAAGAATTCCTATTAATTAACTTTCAGTCAAAAAGATCAACAAAAAGTGCAAAATCTCATAGAACTAAAACGTCATCTGCAATTCACAATTAATTCATATAGAAGTGTACTTAATTTTCATTGTCATACCTAAAAGTTACATTTTGAAATTCTTCATAATTTTTTTTAAATTTTAATTTTCAGTCAATAAAGCACTATTTCTGATGAAGAGGGTCCAAATTTCATATAACTCTTAAATTGATCTGCAAATCATCAACACACAACAATATGCAAAATCTAAATTCGATATAAAATATAAACATTCAACTCCTGACCAAGTCCCTTTGGAAAACATAGGCAGAAAAAAAGCTAAAACTATGGCCCCCTGCCCAGTAGGGGACTGACAATCAATTAAGTTAATTGATTATCATTTAGGTGTGTGAACATTTCAGAATTTGAAAGAATAAAATACCCAAAATGTTTCTAAAGAGTATACTTACATTTGAAGTACCCCTGCTAGTAAGCACATTGCTGTAAAAGTGATACAAGCCACCAAACCAAACAATATGGCCACTGTAACAAAAAGAAAAATTGTTTTATAAATATATAACAATCATTAATCCATTCAACCTTTATCCTTCAATGAACTAATCAAGAATGACTTCCTTTTTATCTTAATTGTTATGTTGTTGTCTTTCGTACTGAATTAGATTGAGAAACTGGGGGGGGGGGGGGGGGATCTGCAAATCCTATTCTGGCAGGCAAAAGGGCTATAGAAAAATATCAGTCTACCCTCCAAGTTATTAAGCAATGCAAAATAAGGAAATCTCTCAGAGGTTTAGAAATTTTAGCAAGGAACTAATAAATATGATTTTTCTAATTTGTCTTCTGTGGCACTCCTTCACTTTTAAATTTGATTTGAGTTTTCATTTATATCATAAACATATATGGTGGACATTTCTGTACTAAGAATTTAGATTCTTAAAGATGATCTTGGGTGTTACAGTACAGCAATGGATCCGACTGAGATCCAGAGGGGGTTGATATGATACATCAATATAAGGTTCTGGGAGAAAGTGTCTCTATCTAATTAAAGGTGATGTTATTAAGGAATGAATTTAATAGCTAAACAATTTATATGTTATAAACTGGGTTGGGGGGCAGGTCAGCTTTATAAAATGTGAAGTGGTTTATAAAAACGCGTAAACACTTCCAACCAAGTTTATACTGTATAAATTACATAGCTATTAAATTCATTCCTTATAATTTGAGTTCGTTCATTTAGTGTAAGAAAATAAGATGCCTGCCCATGTACCATAGGCCGCCATGTTTTCTTTTGTTTTAACTATGGGTTATCTACGCCATAACCCATGGGCGGAGCCTTCATAACCTATAGGCGGAGCCTTGCATTGCATTCAAAATCAATTAAAATTTATTTAAAATCTTTAATAACGTTCCACGTATATATACACAATATGTTGTCAAAAAGAAAAAGAAAAAAAAAGAAAAAAAAGGTCGATATCTTTCAACCAGAAATGTTAATATCCTGATTTACAATCCATTTTAAAAACTTCCTTTTTATTTATTAAAATAAACTGTACAGTTCTGAAAAAAATGACTGGCGGAAGCTGGAGGATCACACCGATTTTCCTCAGTTTTAATAACTTTTTGGGGCGGCTCTTGGTTAACAATATCCATTTGCTTCAACTGCTGGGGCTCCAACAAATTTGAAATATCCTTCAACATTTCAGGTCGTTTGTATTTTCTCACACTTTCAACCAAGCGATGGCCAGTTCTTTCCATTATCTCTTGCTCTAGGACGCCTGCTTGGTAGAGGGTTGTGGCTAGAGTGCGCTTTCCAGAATGATTCGTAAAATAACCCGGAATTCCAGCCTCCGAAAACATTGTTTTCATAATGGCAGCTAGTTTATTCACACCGATTGCTTGTTGGCTGAACCGCAATTCATTGTTTGGGCCGTTTTTCTAGGGCTCAGCGGTAAAACGCACGGCTTTCCCCGCACTTGATAATAATTTCAATGTATTTTTGGTACATGTTGTACAACTTCATATTTTGGAAATGATGCACTATCTCCTTGGCTTGTACGTGGCGTTGTGCTAGTCCTCCTTCAAAACAAAACGTAATTCTATTATTTAATACTCCTTGATTGAATTCCAGCCCCCCCCCCCCCCCCCCCCCGCACTTTATCGTGTATACTGAATAATTTATATTTTTCATTCATTATTAACTGTACATGATTGTGGGAAAACTATTGAATAGTATATAACACAAAACATATAAACTGCAGTCCTACCTTTGAACGTCTTGTTTGATCTCCCTTTAAACTTTACAAAGTGTCCATACTGGTCGACTCCTAGCTCTATTTGGTCAATCTCCATCCCCCTATGTTCATCGACGCCACGGAGGCCGAACAGCTTACAATTGTAGAAAAACATTGTATTCTAAAGCGCTTTTCCAGTCCCATCTCCGAGTAATCCCTTTCCCATAGTTCATTTTCAGTTTCTTGAAAACTTGAAAAATTACTTAGAAAACACAAGCTACTACTTAGAATATGACTTCAAATTGTACAAAATTTAAATGTAATGTCAGACAGTCAATAGGGCTGTCAGGGTTCCCCGAAATAACCGAAAACTGCAGTCCAAGTTGTTGAGTTCGTTTTCATTCTTCCGGATTTCCGTTCAGGTCTAGTTTATATATTAGAATCTGTTTTCACAAACAAGAGGCCCATGGGCCACATTGCTCACCTGAGCACATTGGCTAGACACAAATCAGTTCAGTATTGAAAAGATTACCGGGGGTTGGGGGGAGTTGAATTTTAAACTACCTGATGATGCTTCCATGTCAATATAACAAATGGCTTTGTTGTACTTGAGATTTTAAAATTTTTTTCCCATATATTCCTTTGTAAAATTTTGATCCCCCATTGTGGCTCCTCCCTATCCCAGAGGTCATCATTTGAACAAACTTGAATCTACACTACCGGAGGATGCTTCCATATCAATATGACTAAACATAGCTTTTCTGTTCTTGAGAAGAAATATTTTTTCTATGTGTTCTTACATAAAACTTTCGATCCCCATTGGGCCCCACCCTACCCCTGGGGGTTATCATTTGAAAAAAAAATTGAATTTACACTACCTGAGGCTGCTTCCATATCAAAATGACTAAACATGATTTTCATTTCTTGAGAAGAAGATATTTTCCAATATGTTCCTATGTAAAAAAATTTTGATCCCCCATTGTGGCCCATCCCTATCCCTGGGGTCATCATTTTAACAAACTTGAATCTACACTACCTGAGGATGCTTCCATATAAATATGACCAATTAGGGCTTTGCTGTTCTTGAGAAGAAGATACCTTCCTATATATTTTTATTTCAGGCATTGATCCTCCATTGTGGCCCCGCCCTACCCCCGGGGATCATGATTTGAACAAATTTAAATCTACACTACCTGAAGATACTTCCACATAAATATGATCAATCAGGGCTTTGCTGTACCTGAGAAGATTTTTAAAGATTTTTCCTTTATATTTCTATTTAAAACTTTGATCCTCCATTGTGGCCCCATCCTACCCCCGGGGGGTCATGATTTGAACAAACTTGAATCTACACTACCTGAGGATGCTTCCATATAAATATGACCAATTAGGGCTTTGCTGTTCTTGAGAAGAAGATTTTTAAAGATTTTTCCTATATATTTCTATGTAAAACTTTGATCCTCCATTGTGGCCCCACCCTACCCCCAGGGGTCATGATTTGAACAAACTTGAATCTACACTACCTGAGGATTCTTCCATATAAATATGATTCATCATGGCTTTGCTGTTCTTGAGAAGAAGATTTTTAAAGGTTTTTCCTATATATTTCTATGTTAAACTTAGATCCTCCATTGTGGCCCCGCCCTACCCCCGGGGGTCATGATTTGAACAAACTTGAATCTCCACTACCTAAGGAATGCTTCCATATAAATATGACTTATAATGGCTTTGCTGTTCTTGAGAAGAAGATTTTTAAAGGTTTTTCCTATATATTTCTATGTAAAACTTTGATCCTCCATTGTGGCCCCGCCCTACCCCCGGGGGTCATGATTTGAACAAATTTAAATCTACACTACCTGAGGATGCTTCCACATGAGTTTCAATTTCCCTGGCTTTGTGGTTCTTGAGAAGAAGATTTTTAAAGGATGCTTTTAATTTTTCACTAATTCTTTATTATCTCCCCTTGAAAGAGGGCATGGCCCTTCATTTGAACAAACTTGAATCCTCTTCACCCAAGGATACTTTGTGGCAAGTTTGGTTGAAATTGGCCCAGTGGTTCTTGAGAAGAAGTTGAAAATGTGAAAAGTTTACAGACGGACAGACAGACAGACAGATGGACAGACAGACAGATGGACTACAGACAAAATGTGATCAGAAAAGCTCACTTGAGCCTTTGGCTCAGGTGAGCTAAAAATGGAGTCAAAATTATTAATTTAAAAGAATGAGGACGATAACAGTGATAAATAAACATCACAACTGAAAACTACTTCATTCCATGACAAAACACTTGTCACAAAAGGATAAGATAATTATCAAAATGAGCAAGAATGGTCAGGTTGTAGCTACTAGTCGGCCTAATTGTCCTAAACACAGATGTCACGATGTTAACATGGTTAAAACTTGTGTTCTAGGTGAATTTAACATAACAAATAAAAAAATTTCAAGTTAAATTCATGATATTAAGGTTTAAAAGAGATGTTAATAACCGAACCGAAAACCCTGAAACCAAACCAAAAATTTACAGAACCGACCTGATCCAAAAAATTCTGGAACCATGACAGTTCTAGCAGTCTATGTGTTTTTCACAAGTCATTGTGATATGGGCAACACAGTTTATAGGATAAAAAGATATGTTTTTATCCAATCAAATGGTGCAGAATTAAATTATTTAAGGAATGGATTTAATAGCTACCCAATTTATACGGTATAAAGTGGGTTGGGGCAATTTACGCTTTATAAATTTTTTATCCACTCAAATGGCGCATTACAATCAGAATTAAATTATTATTAATTACAGCTTACATTTTCTTTAAGGAGAAATCTAATTGCTGAACAAAATATAGAAATTTGGTTATTGATAACTCTATAGTGTTTCATTTCTTTTTTTATCTTTCAAAAGTTTTATCTTAATTATTGTGAGAAATTTTTATATTTGAAAGGTTTCCATGGTTTGAAATTTTCCAAAACGTAAATTAGGAACTTTTTCTTGAAAAGTAGAAGATCTAACGTTAGGCCCAATTCGATGTTCATTTGCTTATATATATATATTCATGTATGAAACTTACACAATCCCCCAAGTGTCCCTACGCCGCTTAGGAGATACTTATACCACCAGGTATCGACAATACCGCCCTTCTGTTGACCATCACGTGTATTTGACTGCATTCTGACCCCCAGTCAGTCTATCAACTGTCTCTTCTCTCCAGCTGTTTTGACGTGTTCATCTTTTCATGACGATTAGTAAACTTCCGGTGAACATAATTTTAGATTTCAAAACAACCTTTAAAAATCCGAATAATGGAACGAGTGCATATATATATATTGGTTTCAGCTCACCTGAGTATAAGCTTATGGCTTAAGTAAGAGTTGTCCAGCATCAGTCGGTTTGTCTGAAATTCTGTGTCTATGCGTACCACGTTTCTACACATGGATGTAGGCGAAAGCCTGTCCACTTCTCTAAAGAGAATAACCACGTTTCCAGTATAAGAAAAAAACTAATTCACAGACACTTGCCAAAAAAAAAAAAATGTACTGACAAACTATAAATATACGTTTCGAAGAGGTTAAAGATAGTTCTTTTAATCAGTCTGTCGGGAGAGGGCAGACAATTTTTTAAAGATGTCCTTGTCTTTAATATCTTCATTATCTCCGTAAACAGCGTCAGAACTCTGCTCGCCAGGGTTAGATACTATACTATAGGTTGAGAAAAATTATTACAGGAACTTGTTTCAAACCTCCAACAAGGTGAGTAAGGGAAATGTGAACCTATAGGGAAAAAGTATACGAATAAAGTCATGAATTTGATATCTAGATTCAGATTTCCTCGGCTTCCAATAAGCTTGTGATGGACAAGTTGATTTTCTATTATTTAAAAATATTTAAAACTTCATTTGCACATTTATTTGCATTATTCCTTTACTGACGATGTATTACATATACATCACACAGTTACATGTTAATTGTCTTTTTCCAAAAATGAAAAGTTCATATTTTTTTCCGAGCAAATCTTAGTGCTTTTCTGGAGTTATCTACATCTAAAAACAAATCTTAGCTAATGTCCAAGACTCTGAAGTTCCTGACTTAAAATTTTGAAAAGCATAAATGAACCTAATTATGTTTGAAAATTACTCACTGTGGACAGTCACCTGACCGGTTACAGACAAGTACAGATAAAAACCATGTATAGAAGGAGAAGTGTTGGTATGTCAGTGTCTTGGTATATAGTGCTAAGGAGTGGTCTCTTACTGTTACCACTGTTCGAATTAGATAAGATGTTGGTATTGCCACCAGGTCATTTACAATGCGGTACTACATGGTCTGATTCAGCGAGATCGTGTATAGTTATGATAAGTTGGGTCTCACAGGATCGTCATTTCTAAAACCGTGCTGTGCGTCCGTTAGAATGGTGTTCTAGATGTCTCATGACATTGCTTGTGATGATGTGCTCAAGCATTTTACAATTAATGAATGTCAATGAGACAGGCTTATTATTTTCTAGTTTGTTCTTGGCTTCTTTTTTGAATACTGGGACCATATCTGCCATTTTCTAGGATTTTGGGATTGCTCATTGGTTTAGGGATGTCTGGAAGAAGACCCTGAGGACCTGAATACAAGCTCTGCAACTGAAAACTTCATCAACCTAGCATAAAGACTATCTGCTCTAGTTGCTTTATGGATATGCAGGCTTTATAGAAGTTTGTGGACTCCTGCTTCTGAAATATTGATGGTATTCATTTCAGAAATTAAATGTCTAGACCCATATCCTTTACGTTGTCTCGTTCGTTGGATTTGAACACAGATAAGAACGAATTGTTCAGGATTTTGGCTTTGGTGATTGGTTCTGAGTATGTAAGTCCATCCCTTGCTTTTAGGGGTGCAACTCCTGTGCTATTCTTATTCTTGCTGTTTATGAAGCCACAGAATCGTTTTGGGATGTACCGTCTGGTGATATTATTTCTGTGATGTAGTCGTTGCAGGCCTTCTTAAATGCATCCCTAGTTTTGGCTTTCGATTGCTATCTTCTTTTATCTCTTCTTTCATCCCCGGGTTCCTTTTTATTTAAGGCATTATTAAATGTTCTCTTCTTTTGCCATGTGTTATAGTATGTGGTGTTGATGTCTCTTCACATTTCCTCTACTGAGATGATAGGTTGTATGTGTCAGAGTGTGGTGTTGATGTTCTGTCACATTTCCTCTACTGAGATGATAGGTTGTATGTGTCAGAGTGTGGTGTTGATGTCTAGTCACATTTCCTCTATTGAGATGATAGGTTGTATGTGTCAGAGTGTGGTGTTGATGTCCTGTCACATTTCCTCTACTGAGATGATAGGTTATATGTGTCAGAGTGTGATACTGATGTCTCGCTACATTTCTTCTACTGCGATGATAGGTTGTATGTGTAAGAGTATGGTGCTGATGTCTTGTCACATTTCCTCTACTGAGATGGTAGGTTGTATGTGTCAGAGTGTGGCGTTGATGTCTAGTCACATTTCCTCTACTGAGATGATAGGTTGTATGTGTCAGAGTTTGGTGTTGATGTCTTGTCACATTTCCTCTACTGCGATGATAGGTTGTATGTGTAAGAGTATGGTGCTGATGTCTTGTCACATTTCCTCTACTGAGATGATAGGTTGTATGTGTCAGAGTGTGACGTTGATGTCTTGTCACATTTCCTGTATTGAGATGATAGGTTGTATGTGTCAGAATGGCCACGAACTCTTTCAATTCTTTTTCATTTTATCTTCAGCAGGTCTCTTTTATGAGTAAATTTCTCGTTTTTTTATATGCTTACTTCTCTATGGCACCTGATCCCTCCTCTGATGTTTTTAGCTGTCCGTGCTTGCTCTACTTTCAATCTGTATTGTTTCAATGGACCTTTGAGCTTGATTACTGTTCATTATTTTCATATTCATTGTACGGGAAAAGGAAAAGGAAGAATTATTTCTCTTAATAAAAAATATCGAAATATCGAATGTTTTATGACAAGCCAATATATCAATAAGATATTTTGACTGGAGAAAAAGAGCGCACACACTAATAAAACAACAGAAAGAAATGATGAAAAAAAAATCTATCTAGACGATATATCTATTTATATAACATACGCACTATGGAAAATCAAATATTTTTTGGAAAATCATTTTTTTCTGGAGTAAAATGTCCTCTGATATCTTTGACCCCCCTTTTTTTTTTCAAAAACTTCTAGTATACATATATGTCATAATTCACAAGGCATTTACTGTATGCAAAAGTAATTTGAATCTTTTCATAAATGTGTCTCTTTGAAATGAATTTAATACCTTATATTTACCAGGATCCTGCTGAGAGATATTTGTATTTTATTCCCATGCATCCCTCTGAGTGACCTACCCAACATATGTAGGAATTTTCTATGAATATGAAAATTCACACTCTAAAACAGAGTAAAATGCCTAGATCGTGATTTATGACAAAGTATTCGGAACAGTACAAATTAATATAAAAGAAGATATTTTACCCCGGGAGAAGCACTGTGATTTTTCAGTGGCATTTCAAAAAAAATAATCGACCGAGGTTATCTAGATCCCTAATGAAAATTAAAAGTATGTGACACATTCCCGCTCCCGATGAAGAGTAATAACTTTTTTTTACCACATTTTTATGCCCCGTAATCGAAGATTCGGGTTATATGGTTTATGCCCTTTCCGTCCGTCTGTCTGTTTGTCCACAAAATCTTTATCCTTGTCCATAACCCTTGATTGGTTAGAGCTATGGTTTTCATATTTCCTATGTGCATTCCTTATGATAAGACCTTTGTTTGGGTACCAACATATTTGACCTCTTGACCTTAACCTCGGAGTTTAACCCACTTTTGCAAAAAAAAAAAAAAAAATTCCAAACATTATCCTTGGCCATAACTTTTGAAAAGTTGGAGCTAGGGCTTACATACTTCACATGTGTATTCATTGTGACAATACCTTTCCTTGGGTAAAAATATTTTTGACCTTTTATCCTTGACCTTAGAGTTTGACCAACTTAAAAAAAATTATCCTTGGACATAACTCTTGACATTTAGTACTAGGGCTTTCATACTTCACAGGTGTATTCCTTGTGACATGATCTTCCTTTAGATATCAACAAGTTTGACCTTTTGACCTTGGAGTTTGACCTATTTTTGAAAAACTTCAACCTTGGGAATACCTTTTGAACAAATGGAGTTAGGGTTTTTATATTTCACATGTGAATTTCTTGTGACAAGACCTTCACCTGGATATTTTTAGACCCTTTATTCTTGACCTTGGAATTTGACTCACCTTTTTAAAAACTTTAACCTTGGCCATAACTTTTAAACAGTTGGTACTTGGGCTTTCATATTTTATTATTTCAGATATTATGAGACAAGTCTTTTCTTTGGGTAACAACATTTATGATGCCTTGAGCTTGGAGTTTGACTTCCATTTGAGAAACTTTAACCTTCGCCATAAGGTGCCATATGGAGGGATCAGTGTTTCACAAACACATCTTGTTTCTAATCGTTATATACTAGTAAGTATGTTCTTACTGTAAAAATTGCTTTTGGGTTATTTTGTTTGTCAGAAAATTCTTGAGTTTGGTGTTTTGTTTTCAAGAGGATATACATCTCCACTCTTCACTCCATATAAACATTCCTTCCTATAAAATTTTGTCGCTTTGATAAGTTAATTCAAGTACGTATATTAAAGACAACACAATATGCAATGTCGTCTATGCACAATAGCAGTAGTTAAGTAGCTGGCAGGAAGTAGTTGGCTGTGCCAGTGAGTAGTTGAAGACAGTGACAGTGGGCAGTTGCCAGTAAATTGCCAGTAAATTGGACAATTGGCAGTAACCAGATAGCAGTGTCAGTGGACAGATGGCAGTCATTAGTTGGCAATGACAGTGGGCAGTTGGCAGTCATCAGTTGGCAAAGACAGTGGGCAGCTGGCGGTCATCAGTTGGCAATGACAGTGGGCAGGTAGCAGTCATCAGTTGGCTGTCGTATATGGAATTCCATAGTTTTTTCCAATCTTTTTAAAGACAAAAACGTTACATTGTCAAAATTTAGGTTATAAACACGGAAGTTTTTAACGACAAGTAAGCAAATAAATACAAGTGAATCATGAGTAACTCCTTCCAATAATCCATATAAATAATGGCTCTTCTAACAACATTATCGTTTGTATTTGGATTCCTCTACACGGCATTTGGTATGTACTTTAAAAAGCTGATATGATGTCACTACTGAGTAGGGGACCTTAAATTTT